TTGCACTGTTCCATGTTCCGTGGAAAACGCCACACTTTTTCCTTTAGCCTGATTCCTCTGAGTCTGTCTCATCTCATAGGCTTGCATCATCCCTACGATTTCGTTGAACTTCATTTCATCTGAATTTTTTGAGACTTCGAGGGCTGATATGTGACCCTGAAGCTTGTCTGGTAGGCTCTTCAGAAATTTTTTGACCAACTTCTTGTCTTTGTAGGTTTTCCCCAGAACATGGGCTTCATGTGCAATAGCACTGAGCTTCCCACTGAACTCCTCGATGGATTCTCCTGATCCCATGGTCAACGTTTCGAACTGTGATGCCAGCATATCCATCCGAGTTCTTTGAACGCTTGTAGTCCCTTCATAAGCAACCTGAAGTGCATCCCAAGCAGCCTTTGCATTGGTGCATCCCTGAACTTTCTTGTACTGATCCTTAGTGAGAGATGTCCAGATTATAGACAGGGCTTTGGAGTTGAACTTTGACCACGACTTTTCTTCAACGGTCCATGTTAACCTCGGTTTAAGTCTGGTTACCCCATCAGCTCCAACAACAGTTGGTTCTGTCCACCCTTCTTCAACCATTGTCCAAGCATTCTCATCGTACCCTTTGATGAGGGCCTTGATCTGAACCTTCCACCATCCGTAATTTTCAGCATCAAGAACAAGTGACTTAACCGAGCCGAGATGTTGCATGTTTTCCATACTTTGTCCCACAATCACACCTGATTAATAAAAACAGACAATCCTTAGCAGATGCCTACTCTGATACCAATTGTAAGTGTAGAAAACAGGCACAACAGACAATTACTTGGAAGGCGTCAAGTCAACGCTTGTTTTATTCACTAGAATCAACAATTCAATCACAGATTACAATTGTTTGGACTTATGCAACTCTAACCTAGATTGCCCCCAAAGATTCCTAGTTCAATAAAACCCTCTTCACACGATCACACAGCTCGTGTATCAGAGAAGAGGACACTAACCTTCTTGCTTCTTAATTGCTATGGAAGCTTAAGGATGATCCCAGTATTTGCGGCGCAAAGTGTACCTCCCCCACTTTGTCTGACTTCCTTTTTATATAACCTACCCAAGATCCTAAACCCTAGAATCTAGTTGCAAGTCCTTTTTGGAAACATACTTTCTATTTTTCTAGATTCTCGAATATACTCAAAGTATTATTCGAGACTTCCACCTCAGCATAAATATGCTCCTCAGCTACAAGCTTCCTAATGTTCGTCTTGAGCTGCTATACTCCTGAGCTGCAAGCATCTTCAATGTGTTCTAAATTAGTGCCATTGATTCAAATTTTTGGATCTTTCTGACAATTCTGATCCCTCGCTTGCTTCAGGTTCTCACAGCGTTAGAGGTCGCACTAAAGAGAGATTTCCTGTCTCCAAACTTTGAAACAACTTCCGAGCTCTTGGATTTACCGGAGGAAGCTCTCGCCGGCGACTTCGCTTGTTCCGGTAATGTAATTCCATGGCTACCAAACACAACGGGAGGCGTAGCTTTGAGGCTCTTTGAATTCGACAGCTCGATTGTTTACACACCAGATCAAAACAACGATCCTCAAAAGGAGGACAAAGAAACTGAAGATTTCGTCGTAAGTGTATCGTATAAGTAACATAATGCTGAATATTTTCTTGATTATTCAAGATTCTGAAAAGTTTTTGTTTTTAGGGTTTGGAGACGAGTTTTCGAAGAAATGTTCAAGAAAACGACGTGATGGAGACGACTCCGGTGCAAGTTGCTGCTTACACGCAAGAAGAGAACTGGGCGGATCCGGGTTTAGGCGGTGGTGTCTCCACCTCAGGGAGAGGCCGACCACCGCGAGGACGCGGCCGGCCTCGCTCCCATGGCAAGAAACTGTCTCCAGCTTCTGGTAGACCACCACGAGGAGGTGTGGCAAACTCAAACGGCGAAACCATGTTGAGACCGAGAGCTCAGGCGCGCGGTGGTAGAAAGAACGGAAGGCGCAGCGGCGGAACAAAAATCCGGACGAGACCGACGAAAGGCACGCTTGGGATATCTAATGAAGTAGGAGGAGGAGGAGGACGTCGGGCTAAGGAAGTTGTTGTAACAGCGAAAACCGCTCTCGATTGGATCGAACGCCTGAGGAGGAGGATGACGGTGAAGCTAGCAGCTTGGAGAGGTCGTTTCAGTATAAGGACTACGATGACGTCATGGCTCCGATTGATGATTTTGATGGTGGAAAATCGAATAAATTAGTCGGTAGGGGTGAATTTAGTTTACATAGTGATGATGAATACGAGGAAGAAGATGAAGATGATGAAGAAGAAGAAGACGTGAGGAACACGAAAATGGATGTGAACGTTGATGATGAAGATTACATAAACGAGGATTCTGATGGTAGAGAGCAGTCGGAAATTAGTATTGTTGCTAATCAGAAAAGGTTTCCGTTTGAAGATCCTGATCTAACATCTTCATCTTCCTCTGATTATTAGTGACTAATTTGTTTGTTTTTTTAAAAAAAAAATTGTATTATTCAGAAGAAAAAATGCCAAAAAATTTAGTTAGCAGCATCATCATTAACCCTTCTTTTAAGGTGACAATCAATGTGATAATTTTGTCTCTTCACAAAGCTTCTACGATTAGAATTAGTGTTGTTTGGTCCAGACCGGTCTGGCTCCGGTCACCCCAATTTTATAAGAACCAGTCCAAAATAAAACGTGATTTTGCTGTCTGATTCGCGGTTAATCACCAAATACATAGGTGCAAAATGATATATCCGGTTCGGTCGCAGAGTTAACCAGCACAAATTTGATAATGTACCAACTCTAAACCAGGGCAAACTTATACTTTTGGTTAATTATTAGTGGACTTTTACAAATTTGAAAAACTTGTTTTACATACTAACACTTTCTTTGTGTTTATCTTCGCAATACTCATTTCAAACTACGTCAAACATGTTTTTAACAATCGAGTTTTTTTTTTTTTTTTTATCAGAATGTGTTACAGATTCGCAATACCCTTTTATGCACCCCTTCTTCAATCACAAATCAATGATGACAAAAAAAAAAAAAAAAATGAGTTACAGAAAAGGTAAGTTATTTTGGTGATATAGAATTATAGATAGTTTTTTATTTATTTACAAGATGATCTAAGTTTTTACTGCATGATTAATCCTTTCAGTGTGAATATATCCATCGAGTAACACGCATCAAATTTTCTATTAAATGTCAAACGTGATAACATTTCGACTAATCAAATAGAAATTTCTTAGATCTACATGACTACTCCTACGCAAATATGAATCATTAGTCCATTACCGCTTGATTTGGTGATTAAAGATAGTTAAATCAAAAAAGTTTATTTTCTTTTATGAATATTCGGGGTACGTAGTACAATATAAAAACTGACCTGTTGGCTGTGGAATCTATGTACCCATTATGGTAGTTAACAAGTTCATATCATATATGACTGTAAAACTTGTAACGTTGTTACATTATTGTTGTAAAAACAAAAGAATACGAAAAGAAAAATCAGCCAGTTTGGATCTGTAAAGAGGGGAGATAGTGGGACTGAGAACGACGTCGTGCATATGTCTCTCTATGAACTTACAGACAAAGAAGTGCTCGCCTCTCAATAGAAGAAAGACAAAACCATCTTCTCCACATATCACACCTAGAATCTTGATTTTTTTTTTTTCGTATTAAAAATATCATCTCAATCATATAACGGAAACAAGTATTTTTAATCGTGGAATTTTTATTAATATAATATTTCATCACCATATATAGGATGAAATATTAATATAAGACAATGGCTTAGTAATTTTTAAAAATAAAAATAACATTTACATAGTATATACAATCACAATTATATTGATAAACTTTAATTTTAATTTAGTCTCTCAAGCATATTTACACTATAGAAATGTAGATGAATAAAACAAGTAATACATATACAAATATAATTTCATATTAACTCATTCTGTTAAATAAAGTATATTTGACTTTCTCAAAACTTAAGAGATGTAAAATGTTCATTTGCATTTAGCTTATAATTTAATTTAAATATTTTTTTTTAAACTATACATATATATTGATGAACTTTTATAATTAAACTAAAAATATATATTATATTATTTCATCGTGCAGGTACTCATCTAGTTTTTGTAATAATTTGTGTGAAGGCTTGTGTCGTAGACACATTTGTGAAGATAAAAAAAAAAAGTTAGTTGGATTTTCATTAGTTACAAGATCAATCATATGTTTGTTAAAAACGACTTTTAATGGTTATAAAATTTGACAATTTGACGTGTGTGTGTGGACACATTTGCATAAGTTATCTTGACCATGCCACCATATCTATCACGTCTTCCACATCATCATATTCACGAATTCATGTTCACATTCAAATGTTCTTCGTAAAAATTGATGATGTTTTCAGTTCCATTAAGCGAAAATCAAAAGTCTTACAGTATAAATGCTTATTAATAGAATAGTGATCTAAAGCAAAGTTTGATCAGATACATACAAACCAATGCCATCTTATCAACACTGTTATATCTACGCCATCATATCCATATCCACGCTATCATATAATCTACATAATCATATACACGTATGTTCACCTTTCTGTTGTGAGAGAAAGAGAGAAGTTGGAGAAAAGGATGAGAGTGAAAGAGAGAAGTTTACTAATCGTTTAACACAACTATGTGTTCACAGAATTGATGAGATGAAGAAGAATTGAAAGAGATTTAGAAAAAGAAAAACCTTAAAGAAATGAAGAAGAAGATAGAAAAGACATTGATAATTTTCTCTATATTTTGATTTTTTTTAGTTTGTATTCTCGAACTTTTGATTTTGGATTGATTGGATTAAACAAGAAAGTGGAGAAGAAGAGAGAATTGGGTTAATTGGGTTGAATAAAAAGGTGGAGAGGAAGAGAGAAAAAAGTGAAGATGAAGATTGTGTGGGAGTGAGAAAGATTGGGGAAAAAGAAAAATATTTTCTCTAGTCAAAGGTTTGTGTTTTTTACTCATGTAGAAGTGTCTATTTGTAAACTAAAAGTAAAAAAGTGTCTCAAAGTGTACATTTCTCAAATATCAATGGTTGCTTTAATGTTGTAACCTATTCAAGGTATCCAATTCATGAACCCATCCTTTACCAATCCCTTGTTTTACACTTTATAGCGAGTTGATCTTAAATCAAAACACATAAGACATACCTAAGTATTGTATCTGTATACATGGAAGATCTCTCTTATCTTAAGCTTACTTGTACTTGTCCATAATTTTCTTTGCTTCTTCAAGTGGATCATCCATTGGTTTGGAACCAGAACTATTATCTCCTCTTCTTTGTTTAGGAACTTCATCTTTGTTTAAGGCTATGAATAAGAAATATGCAAAGCCCATTGTACCCTGAAACACTCATGGAAAAGCAGCATTTAAAGGATTTAGTAGTCTCACTCGAAAACTAGCCACTTCGAAGGGCGGAAAAATGAAGGGATTGTTTACACACCAATACGAAGAACGCTGTTGATAGAAACGACTTGAGAACGAACAACGAAACCGCCAATACTGCAGTTGTCACTGAGATTCTAGCAACTGGTCTAGGCACAGAAACCTTAAAAGCAAAAGAATAGAAAAGATAAACCAAGCGTGACTAAAACCATTAATATTCAACTAGAGTTTGATTGGTAAAGACAAGACTGAGAGAGCTTACTGGTACAAGACTGGTTCCAGCTTCGATTCCATCTCTACCAATATTCCACGCGGTTCTAAGAACTGTTTCAGAAAATTGGCACAAAAAAATCTGAAACATTAGCAGACATTTCAAATGCACACAATCAGCTCTGTTCCGAGTTCCGACGATATCCCCATCAAGAAATTGATCAAGTAGAGGGTAAGCTCGTTCCACACAACAATGAACAAACCCTTTTCATCAATCAATGAACCCTTAATCCAGGTTAACTCCATCTAATTTTACCAAATCATACAAAGATAACTTCTTTCTTTCGAGACCACTCTTATGCTAAAAACATTTCAACTGCATACAATCAACTTTGTTCCTACAATTTGTCCATCAAGAAATCGGTCATCTAGAGAGCAATCTTCTCATAATGATTCGAGGTAAGCTCGTTCCAGAGAACAATGAACAATTCCTTTCCATTAATCAATAAACACTCAAGCAGATACTCTTACCCTAAAATCATTTCAACCTGAACACATTCAACTTTGTTCCAACACTTTCTCCATCAAGATATTGATCAGTTAGAGGGTACATTCTCATCCTGATTCTAGGTAAGATCTACACAACAATGAACAAACCCTTCACATCAATCAATAAACCCTTAAACCCAAATTAACTCAATCTAATTTGCCAATCATAAGAAGGTAAACTTCTGTCTTTTCGAGAAAACTCGTTGGGCTCCATTTCATAAACTTAAACAGTCAAAACCCTAGATTCCACTACGAAGTTAAGGGAAAGGACAAACCTTTCAGGAGACTAGACTGTGCAGACAAAACGAGGGTTTTGGTCGGCGATCGTTGGGATCGAAGAGGGGAAAATCGAGTTCTCGAATTTGAAGATGCTTGTTTTAACCTCCAAACAGAGCACGGGGAGAGGAACGGAGAATTCAGAGTTTGTAAGAATCTTGGAGTGAGAGGCGAAGGATTCATAGAAAGAAACGCAGAGTGAGAAAAATCCATTACATGTGAATGCTATAGCGGCTTGAGAGAGTCGGCTTCACTCCAAGAAGTTCAAAAAATTGGAGTGTCTTGAAGATAAGAAAATGAAAATGAAACTGCGAAAAAAATCGGACTAATATTAATTTGCAATTAATTGCGTTAGAAACATTCAGTTTATCTCAATCGGCTTGGTTTACAATAATAGAAAGGAAGACATCATATTACACTAGGAGACAACTGCAGCGAGATATGGTGTGTTAAACGAAAGCAAGCTTTCTGTCAAAATTTATTGGGATTTAAAACGCAAAAACGGCATTTGATAAATGTTAATAATTCCACCAAGTTTAGTTGATCAAACAATCCCTGAGGTTTCATATCGACAGTTAAAAACTCTACAAACAAGAAAACTAATTGTCATCAAGAGATTCACAGTTTCAATAAGGCTCAAGCTTAACATCGCCCAAGTCAAGCCCGGCATCATCATCACCATCATGATGAGTAATGAAAGTTGAGACAATGGTTCCACTGTTGTAGCCATCAACAAGAAGCTTAGAGATTTTAGATTGGAGATCACGGCACCAGCCCCATTCAACAGGCCATTTGCGGAACCGCAAATATCGAGCCTTGAAACAAAAGGAAGCAAGAGTTAGGGAGAGAGAGAGAGGTATATATCAAAAACCGAGAAGACAGGGATGCAGAGTTTTATTTACCTGTTCGATGAGGGAGAACATACAGGTCAAGCAATAGCTAGTTCTTGAAGCTTTTGAGAAGCTTAAGGTAACAAGTTTCGGGCGTTTGAAGAAAAGCTGATAGTTTTTTTTTAAAAAGATTCAATCTTTTGACACCTGGCGGGAGAAAAGCTACCTTTGTAAAAACTAAATACTGTAAATGATTCTTTTGTTTACCTGAGAGATCACATCTTCCAGCTCCGAGAAGCTCTCTTCGAGAAGTGAATCATCCGAGGAGTCACCTCCACCTGCATCATAAAGCCTAAGTTCATCTACTGAGATCTTGTTCGTTTGATCATTTGACTGGATCATCTAGATGAAGATGAATGTTTCTGTTCGTTTTATAATTAAACCAAAAATCATCCGGATGATCCATCTAAATGATTTTAAAAATTTAGGCTAAATTTTAAAAATCAGTTGGATGATCAAAATTAGCTCAGTTGACCGAAGATGATTCAGTTAAAAAAAATAAATGACAAAAATAACCTTAACTAAAGTAAGTAATTACAATCAAAATCAGATCTATCTTTCGACTTTAGCGCCGTCTTCTCTCTCCCTCTCGCCGATGGCGACGCTGTTCTCTCTCGCTCTCTCCGACGCCTACGCTGTTCTCTCTCGCTCTCTCCGATGCCTACGCCGTTCTCTCTCGCTCTCTCCGACGCCACGATTTTCGACTCCTCTCTCTGGCGAGTCTCTCTCTCTCTCTCTCTCTCTCTCTCTCTCTCTCGTTTTCCTTTGGTTTTAATTTTGTGCTTCAATTGTTCTATCTCTCGATTTGATTTGTTAATTCTTCTAGTACAGTGCATAAGAGATGTGGGTTTGTGTATTTCAATTTGTGTGTGCAGTTTTGTCGACTAATCTCAGAGGAACTCATCGGAAACTCTATTTTTCTCTTACCTCCCATCTCAATGGATCAATGGCTGAAATGCCACTTTTTTTGATAAATGAATCTCGGATGCCACCCTTATGTTAAAGAATTTTGTTTTGATTTATTTTTAATCGAAAATCGGATGAAATACAATTTTAACCATATCAAAATCTAATAATTACAATAATACCTGGAGCCCCACCCCTCCGATTCATCCGTTAACCACGATCCGAATTCGAAACCTAGTAAATATTTTTACTTCTCATTCCAGATTCGATGTAACTGTCAAAATTTGAAAAAAAGAAGAAAAGAGCGATCCGATTCACTGAAATTTGAAGCAAATTTGACTTATCTCTTCATCGAATTTCTGTTCAATCTTTCTCCTCATCTCTCTTCTTTGTCCCCTTCTCTTCTCTTCTCTTCTTTGGATTTGATTTTCGATTCTTTCAGATATCCATTCAGATATGGTTAAACTGAGATTTGGTAAGAAAGTTTATGAAACAAGAGGTGAGCAACGACGAGGAGAGTCCCGACGAGAATCAGAAACCGCCGCAGCAACGACGGGAGCGACGGCTCCTCCTGAAACCGGCGCAGCATCGACGGAAGCGACGGCTCATCCTGAATCCGACGCAGGAACCGCTCCTCTTGATACCGCCACAGCAACGACGGGAGCGACGGCTCCTCCTGAAACTGACGCAGCATCGACGGGTACTCTTGAAACCGATGTAGGAACCGCTCATCTTGAAACCGCCCCAGCAACAACGGGAGCGACGACTCCTCCTGAAACCGGTGCAGCATCAACGACTACTCTTGAAACCGATGCAGGAACCGCTCCTCCTGAAACTGGCGCAGCAACGACGGCTCCTCCTGAACCCGATGCAGGAACGGCTCCTCCTGAAATCGACGCAGCAGCGACGGGTAAACCTGAAAACGAGGCAAGAACCGTTCCTCCTGAAACCGACGCAGCAAGGATGACTCCTCCTGAAACCGATGCAGCAACGACGGGAACGACACCAGTAGAAGGAACAGAAGAAGTGGAGAAAGTTCCTGAAGTGGTGCCTCCTGCAATCAATTCGGAGAATCCCCCGGAACCTGTGTCTCCTTCTGTCAATCGGATCAATCCCGATATAAGTGAAGAGAGTCCCTCAACTCCAGAACCAGAAAAAACCCGAACTCCAGATGAAGGGAGGGAGTCCACAAAAAACGATGATGAAGAGAATGTGTCTGGTCAAGAAGAAGAGCAAGAGAATGTGGAGCAGAATGTGTCTGGACAAGAAGAAGAGCAAGAGAATGTGGAGCAGAATGTGTCTGGCGAAGAAGAAGAGCAAGAGAATGTGTTTTGCCAACAACAACAAGAGGAAGAGAATGTGTCTCGTGACCAACAAGAGGAAGAGAATGTGTATGGCCAGGTATAGTTTACTTATGCATTTGCTTACCTTTAGACTGAAAATTGAGAATGATTTTGTGTTGTGTACTTTGATGATTTGCTTACTTTTAGACTGAAAATTGAGAATGATTTTGGTGTTCAACTATGTTTTCTAGGTTCAACTAGATTAGTATCTCCAATGAATGTTAGGTTCAACTGCACTTGATAGGTTCAACTAAGTTTTGCTAGGTTCAACTACGTATTGCTAGGTTCAACTATGTAGGCTTTGTTCGACTAGATGTTTGAAGTTCAACTACGCTTGATTGGTTAAGTTCAACAATGTTTTCTAGGTTCAACTGCATTAGTATCTCCATTGTATGTTAAGTTCAACTGCGCTTACTAGGTTGAACTAGGTATTGCTAGGTTCAACTACGTTTGGTAGGTTCAACTATGTAGGCTTTGTTCAACTAGTTTGATGTTCAACTACGCTTGATTGGTTAAGTTCAACTATATTTTGTAGGTTCTACTACATTAGTATCTCCAATGTATGTTAGGTTCAACTGCGGTTGCTAGGTTCAACTAAGTATTGCTAGGTTCAACTACGTATTTTTAGGTTCAACTATGTTCGAGTAAGTATTTATTTATTTGAACGGTTTATTAAATATGAGTTTGAATTTGCAGGATAACGAGGATTATAGTACACCACTGCAACCAGAGAAGTTTTACTTCGGTCCAGAGCAATATAGCAAGGCTTGTAAGATAGGATCGAGGTGTAGTGTGAAGGATACAGTGAACATGATAAAGCAGTTTCCAACTGAATTGAAGTGGTTCACAGCTCACCCTCAGTTTAAGCATATTTTTCACATGGAGGAGGAGCCAAACCGAAAGCCTATGGGCATGTGGATGTTGCTACTTCATCAAGCTTGTACAGATTCGATGAATGAGCTGTGGTTTGTGGTTAATGGAGTTCCTATTAGATATTCCATAAGAGAGCATGCACTGTTATGTGGGTTGGACTGCCATGACTACCCAAGCAACTATGAAGAATTAAAGGATAAGAAAAATGGGGATTTTAAGTTTGTGGAGAAGATGTTTGGAAGGAAAGTGAACATAACAATCGCAGATGTGGGAGAGAAACTCGAGTCATTGCGGAGTGGTGTGGACAAGAAGAAGATGGCTGTCCTGTATTTCTTATCCACTGTTTTGAAAGCAAAGTCTAAGGTTGCAAGAAACATAGAGCCGTTCTTTCTTAAGATTGTTGATGATTTGGGATTGTGTAAAACATTCCCATGGGGGCGTTACACATTTGATGATTGTATGGTTGAGGTGAGGGAGAAGATGAAGAAGTTCAAGAACGGCATTTTGAGAGACAAATATTCATGGATCTTTTCTGGTTTCATTCTTCCTTTGGAGGTAACCAACTCTTACCAATGGTTTCAAATTATTACTTTGTAGAAAATAAGGTTGTGATATTGTAACTTTATGTGTAGGCTTTTGCATTTGAGTGTATTCCTGTGTTGGGATGCAAATTTCGAGTAGATGTTGTTCCACCTGAGAAGGACTGTCCACGATTGTGTAAGCACAAGTTTGCCAAGGGTTCCATGAAAGGTTTTCCTTTGGAAGACATTAACGAGACCATTGGAAGAACTAGGGTGAGATTGTCGACGATTGTATTTGATATTTGTTTGGTTTTTAAATTTACAAATGTGTTGATTTTCATTATCCAAAATTCACAGGATTTCATTAGCATTTTGTAACCTGACTCGGACGAGAAAGCTCTTATGGATCGCATCGTAGAGCCTGGTTGTGATGATGGGATAGGCTTTATTGATCCAATCGTTGACTCTTGGAAAGACCATCTAATTGCAAAAGGAAGGAAGATATGGTGGAGAGATTTGTATGAAATGGACTTGGCAGGTAGAGGTGGAACTGCGAATGTCCCTAGAGAAGAATCAAGAGAAGAACCAAGAGAAGAGCGCAGAGAAGAACCTGACACCGTTACACCAATACTTCAACAGATGATCCAATCGGTGGCGACAATAGGGAATTTGGTAAAAGAACTTCAGGAAGTGGTTTTTGGTTTTGATGAGAGACTGAAGAATGTTGAAAGTTTTGTGATGGAACAGCGAAACAAAGGAAACACCAACGAAGGTAATACATTAGTTCTACTCTGATGGATCAATTGTTTTTTGCTGTTGTTCATAAAAAAATGTTTCTATTAGGAGGAAAAGCTGGAGATAAAGGGGATGAGGAGCATGGAGCGGATGAAGAGGGAGATAAAGAGGGGGAGCA